TTGGCATGTCAAGGTATCCTTCAATTTAGCATTGTGTCAAAGCAGCTTCGATAGGCATGTTAATTGTGTCCTTCGATTCGCATGGACAAGATCTTCCGATTGGCGTAGCAAAGGACTCTTCGATTGACATCCCAATAAATGCCCTTTGATCGGTATTTGGACAAGGGCCATTCGAAGAACTCCTTCCAGGCCATTCGAAAGAGGCCATCAAGAGGGCACTCAGAAAATATGTCCAGGCCAGATTCTTGCCTTGTTTGTTCACAATTCCACAAGAGCTGATTCGACCAGGGAATTCTCTTCAAAAGGACAGGAAATCAAAGCAAAGGGTGGTTCAATCGAAGGAGCCCTAGTATTGAAGCTGGCACAATTTAACTTAGAACCATTAAGGAGAACAAGGTTCTAATAAGGAAAGTCTTAATTGGTTCGAATTGAAGTTTAAGGCTGGCAGGGAAGGCAGATTCGAAGGAAGGAAGGGGATTTGTTCCAAAACAAGCCAGAAACCTCACAATCAAAATAATCTTCTCTCAAGCAAATAAGGAATGAAGTGTGCTAGCAAATCAGAGGGAAAACGCATTGGAATGAAATATCATGATTTGGCCTATTTTAGAAACAAAAGATACAAGACAAATCAAATCTTTTCTCACTCAATCTTCAAGATTTAATTCAGTTTTGTTAACCTAATTATGTCTACTATATATGCATAACAAACCCTGATCATAAGAGGAGGATTTGGTTGTGTAGAATAACCTTAAGAATCTCAAAATTTTGACAAAAAAGTGGTGATCGATTTTTGCTTTAGAGGAAGATTCAAGGCGTTTCAAAGACTGCAATCCATTCCTGGGCGTATTTGGAAGCTATCTGGACCACTCTCACGCATCAACATATCCAGAAACCTCCCATAGAAGTATCACGGTTTTCTCCTGTTCTTGAACTTGATTTTGACTACACATGCATGATAAACAAATTTAAAGTATGTATTTATGTTTGTGTGACCATTTAGAACATGTTTGCATGATTAATTGTGTGTTTTGATGTATATTTAACTGACTTTCATTGCTAGGGTTTGAAGCTTCATTTTAGGGTTTTTTATTTCAGGCAAAATCAGGACAAAAGGAGAGTATCATTGTACTCACGAGATCAAACCCATTTGATCTGTATTCTTGGATTAATTTTTTTTGCGTGATTATGATTTTTGAGATATGCAGGTTTATAGTTACAACGCCTGTTCGTAGGTAAAACCCCTTGCCTAAAACGACAGTCCAGTGAAAAATATGAGTGCGTGTCAAAACCGGGTTGGGTAGTTTGAATGACGCGCGTTCTATTATTAGACTGATCTCTTATTACATATAATATATATTGTTTGTTTATATTAACAATTGAACAATTGGCTCAGTGGTACAAGTAAAGGTTGTTCAGCGCGCGTGTGTAGGAGGTCAGGGGTTCGATCCCTGCCTCCTACATGTTATTTTTCTTAACAATCCTTTGCAGATCCCATGCTATCCTTCTAAGGGTGCTCACTGTATGCCTCAAGATCATCCCCCTTAGACCAATCAGCGCCCAGATCTAATGCTTCCAATGAAGCTCCCCATGGTGGACACTCCTGGCATGATCACACTGGATCTCACGTTGTCTTGGGCCAACAGGATTGGGCTTGGGCAGAATTTCAGCAGCACAACCCTCAATTTAGGTTCATACCCCCCTCAGGCTCATTTCTTTTCTCTTTGATTTTACTATTTATTTTTATTTAATTATTCTAATTGATTTTATTTCAAATCATTTTTTAATCAGAAAATAATCACAAAAAAATAGGATTTAGTCTTTCTTAATCAATTAATTTTTGCAAATTAATTGTTTTAATCAATTCTAATATTTTTCATTAATTAAAATCGAGTAGAATTAGGTCAAAATCAAATCTTTTTTTATATAAAATCCCAAAAATATTTTTCAATGATCAAATTAGATTTTTAGAGTTTTGAACTTTTTTTTTCCAGTTAATTCTCACGCGTTATTATTTTGTCATTCGATTATTTCTATCAATTATGTAACTGCGCCCGGTTTGTAATAGCTAATTAGGGTTTTTATTTCCACACTTTATTTTTTCAGTCATTGTTTATGTATCTACACCAAAGCCTTATAATAGCGTAGGACCCTCTATTTTCTCGCTTTTATATTATGTATATACTTGTATATAATTGTTAGCAACCTAGGCATGCATTCTTAATCAATCAATCTTAGATCACTAAAACGCAAGGTAAAATATCTGAAATAGCACACTATTACACACTTTCACCCCTAGGGTATTTCCCACTTGGTTGCCTTGGAAACAATGGTCATGTCCCTCGAACATAGGGATACTCTTAGCAAAGACCCTTAGTTTAAAGTCATCATAAAGATCATAGTCCCTAAATGTTCCTCAAGTTGCCTACGAGAAATGATCTTATGATGATAGTCCCTTTGAAATCTAAGGTATCCTTACATGTTGCCTTCAATGACCATTACGTCCCTTTCGATAGTCCCTCAACATCCAACGACTAGGGTTACCTACTCACTAATAGTAGGATAACACGGTCTAAAGGATAGGAGGAAATGAACAGTCTTTTTCAAGTAGGTAGATAACTGTTAGGTATTTGATCAAACAAATTTTCACACCACACTTTCAAACACTTTTTCAAACAAAGTTTTTTCAAAAAGCTTTATCACACTCTTGAGGACTGATACAAGAGTTACCATAAAGTGAATCGCCGCACTAAGGAATTTTCAAAACTTTTTCACACAAACACGAAAGCAATTTAAAAAATGAGCAAGTACCTAAGAGTCCATGGAGAACCATGGATGGAAAGGGTGCTAACACCTTCCCTTTCCATAATCTACCCCCCTTACTCAAACTCGAAAAAGATCTTTTTCTGTTCTTTTCACCCTTTCCTTTGTTGGATAAAATAAAAGTCGGTGGCGACTCTTGCTTACCGCGACATTTGCAAACAAAAAACACAAACCAATATTAACAGTCGGTTCTCCCACCGTATCACACCTTTGAAAGGTAACATATTGGAAGTTTCCATGTTCATACATTTGAAGGAATCCCAATATAGGATTTCGGTGGAGCTGCCCGGGTCGATCAACACCTCTTTAACACTCCAATCATGTATTTGTACCTTTATGACCATTGGGTCATTTTTATGGGCTAGCATGTTTTCTGAATCTCGCCTTGAAAAATTGATAGTGACAAACTTCTTTTCCTCCCTCGGTGGTGACCTCTGAGAGACAAGCATTATTGTTCTAACACACCTCTTTCTTGTTGAGCGTGTTTCACCTCCGTTAGCAAACCCTCCCGCAATAGTGTTGAGGGTGTGGTGTGCTACCCTGGTTTCACGCACCTCCTCGACGTCCTTTCTCTTCTTGGTAGAGAGATTCACTGAGTTTGACTCTCTCTAGGAAGGACTTTTTTTTTCTGATGACCCTCCGACATTCTTCACGTATGACAATATTTTGCCTTTCTAGACAAGTATTTTGATTTCTTTTTTTCAATTGGTGACAATCTTCCGCGTGATGGCCCTTCATGCGGTGATATACGCACCAAGAACTTTCATCTTTTCCCATTACAGCCCCTACCATCCTGGGTCGGGGAGGTTCCAGAAATAGCTTGAGGTGATATACTTCACACAATATGTCTGATCGCTTTGCATTTAGTGGAGTGTAGACCTCAAGAGGGTTATCGTAAAGCCTCCGAGAAGGTCTCATCGGGGATCTATCTCTGGACATGTGCTTCTGATGATATTGTCTTGATTTGGTTCCCTTTTGCCTGGTTTGGGACCTTTCTTTAGCATCTCGGGATCTCTTTTTCATATTTCTTTCCTCGCCCTTGATGTAACATTCTGTCCTATTAATCACCTTGTCCATATTTGCGTCTGATTTCTGTGCGAGAGACTCATTGAAGTGGTCGGCCTTCAAGCCGTTCTGGAAGGCCTCCACAAATATTTCTTGATTTGGGTGTGAAATCTTTATGATTTCTCCTGCAACTTTTGAATTATCGTAACTGTCGTACTGACTTAACACCTTAGAGACCCGACTATAAACTCGTTGATCAACTTCGCTCAGTATTCTCGCCCTATCTAACTTTAAGGTCATTCCCAAAAATTTCAGGATATCCATATAGTCTTATAATATTGCTAGCAACAATTTGAAATATTTAGTTACTAAGACATGCAAAGAATCATACAAGATTTTTCGGGACTTAAAATCAAAATTCAAACTATATAATGGAGTTTGTTGATAAGCAAGAGGTAGTTACATAAAAATCTTGTCTTTGATGACTAGAAGAATAAGCCGTTACAATTTATCTTGAATTGATAAAATTTTAATTTCCTTACATTTTGTTAATTTTAATTAGAGACTATGTCGGTTTAGATATTGTTGTAAGTATCGGGTACTCTTATACTCTTTTCAATAAAGTTTTTGCTTATGAAAAAAAAAAAAAAAGAAGATAATTAGAACTAAATAAAATCACAAACAAAAACTTTAAAAATTAAAACAATCAACAGAAAAACGACAAAACTTAATTTTTCTTTTGGATGATTATTCCAAACTAAAAGCTTAAAAGTTAAAAATGAGATGCATTAGTAATAATACTATTATATATGTATAGTTATGGAAGCATTAATGTCTGAAACCAACAAATCCACGTCAATGCATCGCAAGTTATTGCTGTGTCGATAGTGACAGTTTCAATATTTCTAAAAAAGCTGAATATATAACATTGAAAATTTATTCCTCAACGGTAATTTTGCCTCTTGGTTCTCCCTTCATCACCATCTACTTATGTTTCTTCTGTCAACCATTATTATTCCTCACTCCTTAAAACCTTCCACACCTTCTTTTTTTTCTTTTTCTTTCTACACTCTATAAATCACCTTAAAAACATAGATTTTTCTTCTTACTTCTAATACATGGATCTAAAACCCTACACCATCTTTGCCAATTGCTTCTTTCTCTTTCTCATACTCATGACTCTCCCTTATTTCTCTAGAGGTTTGAATCTATTTATATAACATGTGTTGTGTGTATGGTTGTTTATATACTTTATATTAATATTAAAATGTTTCTTGGTGTCATGTTGTTAATTTTAGGAGGATTGGATTCAGAGATTTATGAGATTGATTATAGAGGTCCTGAGACTCACTCGTTTGTGCCTCCACCTAATCACTCCCATGGTAAGATTCATTCACCTCATCACAAAAGCTATGCAGATGCAAACAAAGCTATGGACTTAACTACCATGAAACAAAAGGCAAGTTTTTATTAAATGAGCTATTCATTCATCATGATCTAGGAATCAATATTAGAAATGGTTATGTACAATTTTACTTGCTTGTTATATAGTACTTGTTGGAATATCATTATATGTATTTATTATTCAATAAAAGTATCTAGTCCTTCAAATTTAAGTGAGATTCATTTAAGGGGTTTGCATCTTTTAAAAATAAAAACAAATAGAAATGACCATTAGAATAGTTTTAAGTGTATAAATAAATGAACACTTATCTAAAATTGACATAGTTATATATTTATATTGGGAAAGATTAAACATATATTAACAAAATCCTTGTTTAAAAAAATACAATTACAACATAAGAATAACATAAAACTCTAAAATAAGAAAAAGAAGAAAAAAATTAAAATAGTGTCTAATGAACAAAAAAACACTATGAAAATCGTTATACATAAGCGACTCTTAATCACTTCCAAAATCTACAATATCTAACATTCTCTAAAGCAAATAATTAACTACAATTCAAAATATTTTAACACAATTGTGTAAGAGAAAAGAAAAAGTAATATAAATTCATGAAATGCTTTAAACTAATGTATTTTGTAATGAAGCATTAAAGTACAATTGTCTTTATCTCCTTCTAGTTTTATAATGATAGGCGATGTGGAATTTTTTTAATATATATATATATATATATATATATATATATATATATATATATATATATATATATATATATATATATATATATATATATATATATATATATATATATATATATATTCAACTAACACTAAACATCTCCACCTTGATTAAAAATAAAAAATTAACTTTCATTGTCATAGCTTAAAAGAACTATTATACTATAAGGATTAGTTGAAAATATACATGTTAAAAAAGTTTCACATCACTGATTTTTGTGAAGGAAGAGAGAGTTCAACGTTATATATAGGATTAAAGTTTTTCTAAGTCTCACATCGCTTAGTTTAGTGAATGAAGAGGGGGTCCAAGGTTGTATATAAGATTCAAGTTCTTCGTTCTAAGATATACTAGTAAAAAACACTTTAAGCTTGTATTTGACTTTTTATATTTTCTCTATACTCTTGTTTTAGAGTGTTATGAAGGGTAGTTAAATACTTTCTTGGGAGAGTGCGGGTGTATGTATTGGAGTCTTGGGATGGTTGGGAGTAGTCTATGTGTTGTAACAATTTTCACATAATGTTATTTTTTGATTGTCATTTGACAACTGTCGTGATTTTTGAAGGTGCGAGAAACACAAAAAAGGGGTTTTAATTGGATTACACCAAATATAATATTTTCGCAACACAAAACACAAAGATAACAAGTGAATACAAATAAATGAACACAATTATTTTTATCCTGGTTCACTGTTAACTAAGTTACTCAAGTCCATCCCACAAGGTGATTTGCCTTATACACAAGGACTTGATCATCTATAATCAACCTCTTTTTTATCTATGTTTATTTTTTTCTAATAAGTGGTATTAAGAGCCTTGGTTTGGTAGAGTATAAATTTTAGTATGCTATGTGGTTACAATTTTTCTGATCTTCCACATCAAAAAAGAAATTTTATACTCTATGTTGGTTGGGAAAATTTTGATTTTCCTAAGAAAAAATTTTGGTTGCAATGTCAAGTTTTTCAAGTGCAATGAAGATTGACTTAGAGAATTTTGATGGAAGAATCAATTTTGACTTGTGGAAAACTCAAATCAAAGATGTTTTGATATAATTAGGATTACAAAAGACGTTGAAAAGAAACATTTCCAACATGGACAACGAGAAACAAGTGGAACTAGATTTGAGAGCTTTGAGTATAATCTTTATGTATTTGGCTAAATATATTCTTGGTACATCGTCATCCTAATCTCTGTAGGAGAAACTTGAAGGGTTATATCAAGGAAATGGTATATCAAATCGGTCGTTGTTGAATGAGCAATTTCATAGCTTGCGTATGGATGAACATACACAAGTTTCTGATCATCTAAATATTTTCAATGATATTGTTTCTGAATTAGTAACTATTGGAGTCAAGATTGAAGATGAAGATAAATATTTGAGAATCATAGGGTCACTTCCATCTTTCTATAATCATATTAAACATGTTTTGATATATGAGAAGAAAACTCTGAGTTTTGAAAAAGTTGCTAGTAAAATTATTTTTGAAGAAAGAAGATTGAAGGGTGGGGATAATAATTCATCAAACTCAGTGTTGGTTGCTAGAAGAAGGCCTTATGTGAAGAAAAACAATGAAATGAGTGTGAGATGTTGAAAATATGGAAATATTGGGCATATAAAGTATAAGTGTCCTGATGGGGCAGCGTCAGAGAATGACTCTGAGTCAAATGCTAGCAATGTATCTCTCGATGTGAGATAAGATGATCTTATCTAAAATTGAGAAGTGTGTCCTCATGACATTTACGTTGTCATGGAAAAGTATGTGTTATTGCTAGAGGATTAACACATGGGTATTGATGCAATGTGTGTTGTGAGATTATGTCGATGATTGAAGAGCTTCCTACCAACAAGGAAGCTGCACCATAATGTTTCAGCATGGTTTTTGACATGTGAAAATTCTTGAAGTGTTTTAACTTTAAATTAAGTATAATATCATTTAGATAGAGTATGCTAGTTTTTAAAACTATGATTGTCGGTGAAGACAATATGAAAATTCTTAGAGTGGTGTAGCTTCAAGTGACTATACTTTTTATGGTGAAGTATGATTATCGGTGAACACAATTAAAGTTAATGTATTATTTTCAATCAAGGAGAATATTGTTGGGGTTGGTTGAAAATATGCATGTTGAAGAAGTCCCACATCGCTTATTTTTGTGAAGGAAGGGAGAGTCCACTATATATAGGATTAAAGGTTTTCTAAGTCCCACACTGTAAAGTTTAGTGAATAAAAAGGGAGTCCAAGGATATATGTAGGATTCCAGTACTTTGTTCCAAGATGTACCAATCAAAATCAATTTAATTTTGTATTTGACTTTTTATATTTTCTCTTATAATCTTGTTTTAGAGTGTTTTGAAGGGTAGTTAAATATTTGTCTTGGAGAGTGCAGGTGTATTAGGACCTTGGGGTGGTTGAGGATAGTCTATGTATTATAATAATTTTTACACGACGTTATTCTTTAGTTGTCATTTGACAACGGTCGTGATTTTTTATCCGGTTTTAGAATTTCCACGTTAATCTCTTATGTTGTTATTGTATTTCTCTTTTTTCTCTATATTTTAATTTTTCCCAACACATACTACATTCTAAAGAGTATAGTCACTTGACACTACACCACTCCAAAGAAGTTCACATTATCTTCATCAACAATTATAATTTTAAAAGAACTATCACAATCCATCATAAAAAGTAAACTTCACTTGAAGATAAACTACTCCAAAAAAAATCATATTTCAAAAATATAGCTGAAAATTTATAATGCAACTTTCTTGTTGGCATAAAGTTCTTTAAATACTGACATAATTTTGCAACACATCTTGCATTATTATTAATCAATAATCATATACTTATCAACACCTTATGATATCATGATTGCATCAACACATCTTTTATTTGAAATTTTCACAAGGCACAAACAATTTTCTATCAATTTTCTTTAGCCCACAATTCAAAGCGGAACTGAACAATAGTTTGATTATGTCATCCTTCATTTCTTATGTAGAAGACCAGAAGGTGTTGCGATCATAGATCATATTGTCGAATTGAACCAAAAGCATTCAAACTAATAGTTGGGGGAAATAAACATATAGAAAAAAACACAACCATAACACATGAACATAAAGTTGAAACTCCAAGCTATGAGAAAAATCATAATCATTGTAAAATGACAATTAAAGAATAACAATGTTTAAAAATTGTCGCAAGACATAGATTACTCTCAACCACCTCATAGCCCTTAATACACTGGCTCTCTCCAAAGGAAATATCAAACTACATCTCATAACACTCTAAAATAATGGTATAAGAGAAAAGAAAAAAATCATATACAAGTTTAAAGTGCTTATATATATATATATATATATATATATATATATATATATATATATATATATATATATATATATATATATATATATATATATATATATAGTATTGTGAGAGTTTTTCAACATATATGATTAAACCAACACCAAAATCTATTGTTCGGTTCAAGTGGGAGTGGTTACGTTACACATCACCTATGAAGTGTGCTCTCACCTAGTTCGAGTGTATATTTAAGAACCAATAACTCTAACTCCAAGATATATTTAATGACTCCATAAAACAACTATACCTTGACAAATATCTTGAGTTTGTTACCTATAAAAAACAAGAGGGTCGTTTGATCAAAAGATAAGATATCACCATGACGTCACGCGAGTCATGTACCATTCTATCAACTGTGGACTCAAGGAAGATTTTAGGACTCTGAGAACAAGCGTTGACATGTCATAGGAAAACACTTGATCCAAGCAAATGATTAAAGAATGATCGTTAGATAACATAGCAAATTATACCCTGACACATGTCCAACTAAACAACTATTCTGCATAGGAAGATCAAAGGCTATCATAAACCCTAGTGTACAAGCAAAGTACATTATTGATAACTCCACTGTCGTGGATCTAGTAAGAGTCACAAATGATTCTCTTAGTGAAATTGTGAATGTCCATTTACCCTTGCACTCCTCTCTTTATATAATGATTCTAACTCATCTCTTTGGAAGACCCAATTGATATCATTTAATGTGATTGATCTTGTCATTAATGATTATTGAGAATCCAACTTAATTGTCCTAGATCTTCATTCTTGTTATCCTTCATTATTAACAAATGCATCATTGTATCTAAGTCGTATATTAGGTTGTGTTGGACTTGGACTGGAGTTAGAGGATTGACCCCATGACTAACTTAAACCAACTAAACTTTTTTGAATAACTTACTTAAATGGGGGCAGGGTCTACTAGATCCAAGTTAATCCCAATCTACCTTAGAAATCGATCCAAAATTTTCAAAAAGTATACAATCCCTCAAGCATGAGGTCTGTATGGGGAAAATGCTTTATGAGAGACACTAGATTATAATCTTTCAAGCATGAGACTTATAGAGACGAAATGCTATATGAGAGATAGTGTTGTATATAGTATTTCAATGAATGTTTCTCGTCTATCAGAGTCATGTCTAACTTAGTCAAATCAACTTTAATATAAAGACTCGAGTTGGTTCGATGATGGTCGCCCTTGTTATCCTACGACGAACTCTCTCCATCTTGACTCTTCCCTTGAATTGTCCTTTTGAGAGTGTTGGAGTCTTATTTATAGATATCCTTGTGGAAATAATATTATTAAACTTAATTATTTGTTTTTATAATTTTAATCACGATGCTTAACCACTCAATACAGAGTGATACATGATACATCATATTAAAAAAAAGTACAAATTGTCAACATAACTTAGATAGTTTTTTATTTCAGTTTTTATATTATTTATTGTTTTTCTACTAATGAAATATATTTTATTGTTAATGCTTCTGTATTGCAGGTTAAAAAAGTTCATGGATGAAGAATCTTGGAAGAACAAAGTTTGAAGAGGCCAAATGAGCCTATGGTCTCCTCAATTTTTTTTTTTTTTTTTCGTATGTTATTATATTTTTTATCTCTAATTTTTTGCGCAAACTTTAAGTGATTATGTATAATAGGTATTTTTTATTCAATATATTTGAGCTAAAACACTTAAATTACTAAGCTTAATTACACCAATCTTTAATTATAACTTTTAACTATAAAAACAAAGAAATGAGGTTTCTCTGCAAACAAGTGAACGACTTTAATTTACTTTAAATCTCAATATTGTATTCTAGTCATTTAATGTTGAAAACATTTGTAATCTTAAAAAATTTACACTTCATATTTTTCTATTCAAGAAAAAACTCATTTAAAATAAAAGTTGCAACACCATTAGTTTATGTGCTTATGGATATCAATTTTCAGATATTGTCCAATCAATGAATTATATCAAAAATTAGATGTGATTGGTATGTCCACAAGTTTCAGTAATTAAGATGAACTCATGGTGTTAGTTACTAAATATATAGATGAGCAACGTGAACTTAAATGAACCTAATTTAATAATGAACCTAATTTAATTATATATTTCTTTAATTTATCGAAACTTTTGTTCCTGCTTTCAACACACTTATCTTGCTTTGTCACTCTAATCAGTCAGTTTTTCTTTTTCATCAAGCAACACTTGTATGCCTTCTACGTGTCCTTGGCCGCCTTTGCTCATCCAACGCACCAATCCTTCGATTAACACGCTAACCCTTACTTCACCATGAAGTACTTGCATCTGGTCATGTCACCTAGTCCTATTCTGCACCTAGTGCGCGTGTAGCTTGGGCCTAGCGATCCTTGTTTCTTCACAGTTTTGCTTTTTCCCGTTTTCTTCATGCTACCCCATAGTTTTCTAGTTCTTTTCACTTTTTTTGACTAATGCATACAAGAAAAGTTTAGACTGAAACTTTTTATATTTCAAAGATAAATCGAGAGTTTTTGTAATAATTGCTTGTGAAATAAGTTAATAAGTGTCGACATATATAACACAAATTTGAAACTTATCACATGTATAGAAACATGAAAGAGGTTTTCTTTATCCAACTTGTAACTAGTATGCTCGTACTCTACATAATGAAATCCAATAATCTTGAGATCTAATATGTAGGAAATTTATATCTAATGGTGTAGATTTTACTCCTAAAAGACCTTTGTAGAATGAGTTATGAACATGATACTATCAAGATATCAAATTTTTACTTGCAAAAATTCAAATCGGTTATATAATTGTTGCAGTTAACTATCTTTATATCGGGGCCAAGGCATAGTAAAACTGATCCAAAAACCGTTAGGCCCATGGATTTAGATCATGGCTAGTTCAGACCGATCCAAGCCTCGTGAAGGATAACCACACAAAACTTACAGGTAAAACACATAATGATAAAGGTGATGTCACCATAGAGACATCATAGGTATGACATCATTTAAAACATACCAACCAATTCACTTTCGGACTTTATTATAGCTCAAATCGCAAACTCTTTCGCAATAAAAATACCAACTAATTCAAACCTTTTTGTCTTCAGACTTTTTCCTTTTAAAACTTTTTGATAAGGATGTGTTGTTTCAAGTTTGAGAAACCTGGAAATGCTAAGTGTGCGAGTGGCCGAGCATGAGTCTTTTTACGAGCTTCAACGCCAAGCACAGATTGCAATCCTAACCACAAGGATGCGAACTTAGCGTTATCCATAAGAAACACACAAAAACCAAAACTTTTAAGGTGAACTACGAGTTCCTTGATCCCCATTGCACGAGCGGTGGTACGTAGGCACAAAGGTTCGCAACCTAGGTAGGCATGACTAATAAAACCTTTTTCTTTGTATATACACTCTACATACATGCATTTTCCCCTTAGCTCGTAAGCTTTAGATATGAACACACCCTTTGATTAGAACAACAAGAGTAGATCCCGTGGAGTACCACTGACATGAGAGATGCTAATACCTTCTCCTTGCGTAATCGACTCCCATACCTGATCTCTCAGTCGTAAGATATTTATTTCTCCCTTCTCAGGTTTTTCTTCAATGATTTTCCTTTCCCTTCACGTGGGATAAATAAATGCTCGATGGCAACTTCATTGATTTTCTCTCGATGATTTTTCGTTGGTTGTATCAGAAGTCATGAATACTCTCATCCTCTTTCATTCTAAAGTCTTCAAACTTGGTGGTAAAAATTTGAAGTCTTGACATCTCCACCTTATATGTTCACGATATTGGTGGCTCTGGTCCTAGGATTAGATTCGGGAGAGATATTGGTACCACATAAATTGAGTCTGTCAGTCGGTCTCGCTGCATTGCATTTTCATTAACCTAATTTTGAATGGTGTGATTGGTGTATGTAATAAATAATAACTCGATGCTATATGTCGATGATTACGCATGATTGTGTAGTTAATATGTAATAAGACTATTACCGTTATGTGAAGGTGTGAGATGTGGAAGGTGTGGTTATGCATGATTCAATAGTTGTATACTTATTATTATACATTCTCTTATATTGTCGTGATATCTCACTCTTATGTTGGAATGATGCTTTATACGATATTGTGTAGATAGTCATGAGTAGTCTAAGGTTGCAAGGATCGGAAGAGGTTGCTTTTCATTTTATTTTTGAGTCAGTGTCGTTGCTCTGATACGTAATACCGGGGGAATGAATGCTTTATTATTTTGTTTGATTTTAGATGATTCATTTGGAGTCCTATAAACTCCTTTGTTTTTGAATAAATGTCGGTTTATACTAGATAAAAATTATTTGATATGAAATGTGATTCTTTTCCACTGCTTAATAAAAGTAAAATTGAAGACCATGATTAATTATTTGGTTCATCCATATTTGTGTTATGTATTTATATATATGTTTGGAACTGGTTTATTATGTTTTTGAAATTTTGGTATTCATATCTCAGATGTTCAAAGAGATGTCGAGACACCTTTCTCTGGACAAACACACAATGACAAGATAAGTGATAAACAAAGTACAGAAAAGTAAAGAACACACAGGATTATTAATCAAGTTCGGTGTACAACAACACCTACTCTAGGGGCTACTAAGTCAGGGACGAAATCAAATAGATAGTATCAATTTGAAGATAAACTCCCCCATTTACAACTTCTCACTTAATCAGTACCCTTGCTTAACTTCTACCTAAGACTCACCTAAGTATGAGACCTATCTCAAATCCATTCCAATCACAGAACAGTGACTGAACAATTCTAAACACTTAGAAAATAACAGAAGTCGTACTTTAAAGACACACAATCATTCACTTCTTAAAATCTTTGGAATGACTGACATAACTTACAACTCAAAACAAAGTTCTACTCTTTTAACAAGATGATAATCGAGAGACTCGCAATTAACACACAAACCCTAATAAAAATATACAGTAAGTTCCACACATGTACTAGGGTTGAAACCTCCTACTTATAATCTTCAATGAATTAGATTGGACTTCACATATGCAGTTGGATATGATAGAGGTGTTGTAGAATTATCTCCTCAAAGATAGGACATCAATCATTAGTTTCCTAAATTATCTCCATAATTAGAAGCTAACAATTCTACTCTAAATCAGCTTGAATCTTTTTAATCTTCAACATGTGCGCCACATAGGATAGCGTAATATTTACAGAATATTTTACACCTGTGACAAACTAAAATATCCAATACTCCAGTTGTACAAAATCATGATGTTAAAAGAAAATGCATAGGATATCACATTTGACATGTTGCTCCAGTTGATAGAACATCTTATTTCAACATGTCTATGCTAAGTTAATTTTACCAAACATAATACCAATAAAATAGGGAATTAAAAGTTTTGAAGTGTAGCATCCTAAATGTTTGTTAATTGATTTATTTTAAAGAAAAATTACTCTGATTTTACATTTTCTTATTCTTCGGAAAAATTAGGGTATTACATTGTGCACAAAAACCATTGAAGCAAAGCTGCCAAAATGGTATTTTTCAAAAGAATAGCAGTCGTAATCGATTACAGTCCCATGATAATCGATTACCAACTCAAAATTTTTAAACATTTTCTTATGATAATCGATTATACCCACGTGTTAAATGATTACCACATGTAAGAATGAAGTTTTTCACCAAATAACATCAATGTAACGCATGACAATATTTTATGGAACCTTTCAAAGTATTGCATCCATTTAAAAATATTTCTATGAGTGTATATAAAACACTTTACATCAAAAAACAAATCCCACATCTTACATATTATTTTTCTACACATTTCAAACAATTTTCAAAAAGTTCATCTTTGTTCAAAAGTTTTGAAACTTTGATATTTTTAAAAATTATAAAAATTTCAAAATATAATTTGAGTGTTCAAGTGTTATCGTTTTGAATTGTGATATTAGAAAAAGAAATCCATATTTCAAGTGTGAATATGGAAATCAAGCCATCAACAAAGTGTGGTGTATTACTTGTTCATCAAAATTGTGTGGTGAAAAGTATTTGTCTTAAAAAAACTTTGTTTTTTCTTATATATGTGTTAGAAGATTGTAAGAGAGGTCTTGGTGTGAGACTGATACAAAGAATTCTAAATATAATGAAAATCCTCTAAGAGAATAGAGGGATTGAACTAGCATTCGTTTGGAGAATGTAAACCAAGATAATTCTCTTATATCTTTTACTTCTGCGCATTTATTTTTCAACACTTTATTCTTTAATATTCCAAAACTGATTAATTGCTTCCAATAAAATAAAAAAATTTCACTTAAAACGAAAAAAATCCAGCAAATCTAATTTACCCCATTTCTTAGGGAGTAAACTTACAAACAACTGAAAAGAAACAACAATAGCGGAATGACATATAACTATCTCAATGAGTTCTCAACTAGAGATAAAACATATACCAACAATAGAAAAGTAAATTATGATGAATTTAAAGTACATAAATTTAAACGAAAACATGTAAATTGTAGGAAAATA